CCAGCTAAAAGTCTTTAAATTCTCGTACTTGGGATTTTCTCCCATTCTTCCTTGCAAAAGGCTTCTAGTTCTGTAATATTCTTTGGTCGTCTTGCATGCACAGCTCTTTTAAGGTCTACCCACAAATTTTCAATGATGTTTAAATCAGGGGACTGTGCATGATGGCCATTCCAAAACCTTCAGCTTGTGTCTCTTGAGGTAGTCCATGGTGGATTTCGAGATATGTAATTTATCGAGGGGTGCCCAAACTTTTGTATACTACTGTATAATATGCAGTGGATTAAATGTTGATGAATTAAACATGCAATCACATTATATTACTGGAATAATGCAACAATAGTGAATAATAGAACAATCAATTGTCAGTCCTGATCAGGATGTCAAGATTCAAAACAGTTTCTGTCTGGTTGAAGGCAAAGGTACACATCACATGCTTTGCAATGCTAAGGGGATTTTGTATATACTGTACACAGTAAATGTGCCAGTGTTGAATTAACATTGCATGGTGTCTATATGTGTCCACACCATTCAGTGTTACCTTTCACACTTTTCAGTGTGCAGTGAGTGTTGTTTTTACAGTGTTAATATTTATTAACTCTTATAGTGTTCAATTTACAACCTAGAGTGTTGTCAAAGAGTCTCCACCTCCACATATCTGCCCCATTTTAATATGCGCACAAGACTCTGACCAAACAGGACCTTACAGCTTTTTCTTGTTTTACATTAAAGTTTTGCTGGCTCGGTTCTGACTGATCTTGAAGATTAGAGAGCCACCATGCAGTGTTAATTTAACACTGGCAAATTTGCTGTGTACAGTGATACCTCAGTTCTCAAACTCATTAGAACTCGAATTTCTTAAAAGTCGAACCAACCAGTTAAAAAAATGACCTAGAACTCGAGCTGAATCTCAAAAGTTGAATCGTGAACGCCGACCTAAGATAACTTGCACGTGCGAGGAAATAAGTCACGCGGCATGTCTGTCAGCGGAAACAAAGGGTAACGCTTCAGTCTCAGCTTTGCATTCGCTGTGATAGCATCCTGCATGTTTTCACTAGCTGAATACATATATTTAGACAGTAAAAATACATTTAGACAATGATAGACAGTAACAGTAATTATTATTAAATAATAAAATATATTTAAAAATAAAGATTTCTTATTAATTATTGTAATATCATTAATAATAAACCATTAATACATTTAATTATAATAATATTGGGCCTCATTCACCAACCATTCTTATGAACAAACTTGTTCTTAAACCCCACGTACGCACTTTTTTTTTACGAAGATTCTGACATTCACCAATGATTTCTTATCTGAATTTGTTCTTAGCTAAGAACAGAATCTATGCACACTCAAGACCATTCGTACACACATTTGAGTAATGATAGTTTGTTCAAAATAATCTGCAGTTTTGTTCATTCTACAATTCATAAAATGAAAATATTTGAATAATTTATAAAAGTAAAATATAAAAAATAACTTTAAAGTGTAAAAATTATTTTCATGGTAGTAACGGCGATCATGCGGATTATAAACAGGTCTGTTTCTGCGCAAACTGAAACAAACTGAAACGCAGACAAAACACATAGGACTAATGACAACAACCAGAAACAGCTGATGACACGGGGATTCCACACGAGGTTAACGAGGGGCCGTGGCACACGGGAGGAGTGGACGATCGGGGCAGGACACTGTTTTTTTTTTTACTTTACACATTGTTTGGATACATTTATTTTCTTAATTTACAAATTACTGTTTCGATAAATGTGCTTAGATGTGTTTAGTACAGTATATGCTCTTCTTGTTTTATCCTGTTCATTTTGTGTTTAAATGCTAAAGAAAAACATATTTAGGTGTAAGTTTTTGGGGCCGGGAACCAATGAATTGGTTTTCCATTATTTCTTATGGGGAAAATTCGATCAGAACTCAAACTTTTTAGGATTTGAACCTGAGTTCTGAACGGATTAAGTTCGAGTTCTGTGGTACCACTGTATATAGTAATATAATAGAGACAGCGAGATGGCTCCACATAGCAACTTAGTTGAAACTATTCTGTGGCATGGTTCCAAATGTGTAAGTCGCTTACATCATTAGCAACTATGCTTTTAGAAAATGTACCTTTTGCTTTTATTTTTTTGCATCACAACTTCGCTCCTTTTAAATGAACAGGTACTATGCATCATTTATGTGAATAATAGAAGTGTTTTTAGTGCAAAAGTTAATATTTTATGTAAAGTAACTTTTTTCAGCAAATAAAAAATAATAATTTTTTTACCCTATGGCATATCTGCAACAGAACCACTGACCCTCAGAGGAATTAAAATGTTATTTAATCCCACAAAACTATGCTGAGATGCCTGTTAAAACCAGTCCTTCTAGTGACTCACCCAGTGCTGCAATCCTGGCAGTTGTATTGGCAGAATCAGTATCTGAGTGGACTTCACACCTGAACTCTCCTTTGTCTTCAGTCCTCACTTTCCTCAGTTTCATTGAGAAGTTTCCTTTGGGAATTTCCTCTGTGAAGAATTCAGCTCTTCCAGAGTATC